TATGTGTGGGATGCTATTTCTCTTAAACATGCGCTTTGATCTTCCTTACCTTCTCAGTAAAGATTTCGAAGATCGACAAAATTCAATGGGATATGGGATACCGTTTACTAGAACTGTTTCTGAAGGAGTTAAAGCTGCACTGATCGAGACAAACCTGAGACGCTACACTTGCTTGTTTGCTACAGATTTGTATATATTGACAGTTTCTGACATTCAATCGTTTATGGCCTATCGAGAAAGCTTCAGTATTATCTAAAAGCCAGATTTCAATTGTTCATCCATCAGTTTTATGAAGTTGAATCTTTGACTCTTTTGACTCAACACACCAGAAGGCTGCAGTTCATAATTGGTCAGTTAGGCAGTCAAATTAGTTTAATTAAGGCAAACGTCAAAATAAGCGCAAAGAAAGCGACTCCCATCGAACTACTACTACAAACGATAATTTAGGAAGTCCTTTGCATATCCGGCTCGAGGCTACTGCATCTGTCATTATAGGCTTTCTGCGGTCAGTGGCCGTATTACTCTTTAGTGTAGTCACAGAAATATTATTCTCTTGATAGAAATGATTCCCGTTCTAATGACTCCTTAAGACGCCAAAAGTTCTAGTAAATCTTCATCCCGGGCATATCTAATCTTCGCATCACACAAATCGTTCTGTTATGTACTAATGTTTGAGCTGAGTTACGGGATGCACATGTAGCATTGGCTGTTCGATGGTCGATGGTAAATCTTGCAGTGCTTATCGCGTCTGCCGTTTTGTGCGTTTAATGATCAAGCTCAGCGGGATCCCCGTTTTCCATCCATTCGGTACATCATGGAGCATCCTAATCGGTCATTGTCATCCCCTGTACAGAAAACTTTCATAATATTGTTTGTATATCCTGTCCATAAGATCAGCCCACGAACACATCCATCTTGAAACTTCCACCTACAGAAACTCCATGAACCTAGATACTTCCTTCACTTCTGCAACCAGGAAGCTTTTAAGCTTGCTCTGTCGAGAAGTTGGGTTTTGAACAATTTTAGGGGTTTCTGATCACTGCTGGTAAGGCTTGTTTTTATCGGTCTTCATATTTGGTTTTTTGTGTTTTGTTTCGGTTCTTTCCTTAGGGCTAGGAAATAAATAGTTGTCGACGTTGTATTTACTCGCTGGTACTTTTCTAGTTATCAGCTCAATAAATCAGCCTTAATCATATGGACCGGTAATTTTGTTTCTGATGCATTATGTAAGTTCTGTTATCTCCTGAAAGTAATTTAAAACTTGTAAATAAATTATAAGACAATTATTCTTTAAGCGAGACAAACCCAAGATCGGTGGCGGGTCTTCGCCGGTCGATACTAGCATCAAACGGAAGGGTGAGATTTCGAAAACCACCAAGACAGTTCTTGTCGACGCTCCTCCGTTGTCGTTCCTCCCAATCAAGGTAATACCTGTCAAGTATTTCTATACCTTTTGCTCTCCCTTTTACGTTTTATTCGCTTAGGATAGCATCTCGAATGCCGAAGAGTGGCATGTTGACGACGAGTACAATCCGCTGTTGCCGAACGATTTCGAACGCCTTATCCGACAGCGAGAGGAAGACAGGCTAATGAAGTGTTGCAAGATTGAAGACGATCAGATTTTATGTCTCCTTGGTTTGTAGACTGAGCAAGGTGAAGTATGCGCTTCCAACTGAGGACGACTGGGAAGCCGAAACTAACGAAGAAGTGAAGGAGAGGGAGAAACGCTCAAGTACGTTCTCGGCTTTACCATATGTCGTTTCGGTTCGGTGTGTCTGAGAACCTGCCCCTCATTTGCTGCTTACTTATCCGTCGTCTTCTGAATTAACAGTGGGCGCTGCGATCGCTCCTCCACCAAATTTGATCGAAGAAGACCGCCACGCTTCCGAAGACACTGCACCCCCGGCAACGAGTTTGGCTGATACGGGCCAGATCGGCAAAGGGTAAGTTTTAAACCGAAAAGAACTGCTTTGTCCTTTGTAATTAACTACCGTTGACGTTACTAATTTTGCAATTTTATCGAAGGAGACTGTTCCTGAACATTAAAGGAACACCGAATGCAGGCAGTAGAATAAATAAGTATTTTAATATCTGTATATTTAGCCATATCTGTATATATAGCCATATATTTTATTTGCTTTATAAGTTCCATCACTGATGTCGTACTGCCAAGAGACCACTGTTTTATGCAACGGTTAAGTACCAAAATTTACTCTCACTCTATGATACCATAGTTTTACCTTAAATGTTTAAGGCGAAAGATTACTATTAGATTACTACTAAGATTACTACTGTGCCTCTGCTCGCAACACGTGAAAGTAATTTAGGGTTTAATTGTTGAATTTTATACGTATGCTGTTTCGATTATATCTTACATAAGCCTAATTTCAGTTTGAACGTCGCTACCAGAATAATGGAACGATACGGATATAAGCAAGGCAGCGGCCTAGGTAAGTTGGAACAAGGCATGAGCACCCCGCTACTGGTGGAGAAGACCGGACTTAGAGGCGGTAAAATCATTCATGAAAAGGATATCCCGAAAGGTGAGATATTCGCGCACGAGATTTTGTAGTATTTTAAAATGAGCTTTTAAAAAAATAGAAGTGCCGATGCCAGTACCGGTGCCGGCGTATCTTCCGGCACCAGCGGTAGAGCAGAACTCATTAGGCGAGTCGATTACCGAAATTTTGAAAAGCCCTTCCAAGGTTATGCTTTTGAAGGCAAGAGTGGAAGAAATATTGTGTTATTGCTTTATTTCTAAGCTATTTTATAGAACATGGTTGGGCCAGGTGAAGTCGACGAAGAACTTGAACCAGAAGTGAAGGAAGAAATGCAGAAATATGGCGAGGTTGTCAAATGCCTTATATTTGAGGTTTGTTTCAACTGTAATATCATGGAGAGAATCACTTTCTTAACGTGCCAAAGAAATGATTTCAGTAATGAATCGTATGAGCGGGCTCTGAACTGAATTCTGAGGTCGCAAAAAATGCGCCTGTGTCTTTAGTACATATTAGAAGCAAAAGATTTACCATAATCTTAGTGTCAGAGATAGCTTACTATGCTCGTTAAAATTTTGTTACTGTATGTCTTCTGAACGTAATTTGCATTCAGGCAGGTTAACTGTCCAGAATGGATGAATTTATGGTTGTAACGTGAGTTTCATTTCGTTCCCTAAGATATCAGCTGAAGCGATTAAAATAACTAGTGGGTTCAATCAGATCTAAATAGTAGCAGTTGATCAAAACACTCATGATCGGGATATATCTCTTGCAAGTGACATTGTTCTTCTAGGGAATATTGCAGGTAGGAAAAATTTTCTCGGAGCTTTGCAAAAATTAAACCCTTTTGCCTTATGTGTTCACACACTGTACGATTTCCTATTTCATATTTCCTTAAGGACTGCTGTGTTCTGATTCTGATCTCTGGGAATGATGAAGGTTGAAACACCTGATCTATAGCTTTCGCCTAATGCGTGGTTTCTTCGTTCAGTGCCGCAAACGTTATTTTAGATGCCCTCCGTGCCTGAGAACGAAGCCGTTCGAATCTTCGTCGAGTTCTCCAAAGTGGATCAAGCTATCAAAGGTAGCAATGCCAGCTCATCGCTGCTCCTAACTGTTGTTTTCAAAATGCTTTTTAGCTGCCGTCGCCCTAAATGGTCGATATTTTGCCGGCAGGATCGTCCAGGCGGGTTTTTACGATGTAGACAACTTCCATAATTTACAGCTCACAGATTGATGGTGGTTTTGTTTAATTGTATTTATGTATATGCAAACAGTAAATTTTTGAAATATCAGTGTCATGTTTTTTGTTTCATTCGGATATTTTTTTAAAAATATATTCGTATGTAGCGCATTGTAACGGAGATTTTAGTAAGTAGCTATTTATTCCTAGAGTGCTTATGTATCAAAGCGTTAATTTGAAGTTGGTGCCATTGAAGGCGTTTAGGACAGGCCAGGAAATTTTACGTATCGCATAGATTAGCCTGAAAGGTAAATGCAGAACTGTTACTCCTGGTATTCATAGGTTTTTAAACAACTCTGTTTTCGGGTTGGCGACAGGCAGCCAGAAGTATAGTGGTCACTTGAGGAAACATCCCTGCATGATGCTTGGTACTGTGGTTAATAAATGAGTCGGAAATATGAAAGCGCTAAGCTATTTAAAAGTAAGAAATCATTGATTGGCATTCACATGAGTGAGACAGACAAAAATACAGAGATGATGATGTGCCTTCTGCCGTCTCTCAAAAGGTAGACCTGAAATTATATTCCTTGTATATGGTAGCAACTGCTTAGTAGCAGTATTTGACGGCCAGATTGTGTAGCGGGTTTAATGGCATGCAGCGTCTCTATTCATTTGCCAGGCTTCCGTACTCTGTCCTGACGGTCCATATGGTTTGCCTGTCGACTCTTGTAGCCTACGCTTTTGGAACTCACTAAAAGGCAGATGCTATGGTGCCGTCGAAGCGATACTCATGGCTAAACGACTTTGCCAGGGCCAATCGTTCGAGCTGACCTTTTCATACTATTGTATTCCAGAATCCAGCGTCATTGCCTTCCTAGATTGGTTCCTAAGTCCTTCTGACGTCTTGTTTGTGACAGTAGTCGTCTCATAACGTTGATATTGTAGTTTTAACACCTTCCCTTGAACCCGTTTAAGCTTCAGTGGTATGCTCTCACGGATTTTAATTACTAGCTCTTTATGTCGAATTGACCTATTACAAACCTGTCTGCGATGTGTCTGTGTTACTTTTCTTTATGCGATCTCGTGTTTTGATCCGCACCATAAGAATGAATGCAAAGTTAGATTTCTGGAAATGAAAAATGAGTCCAGTATCACGGTATTTTTGCTGGGTGGGGGGCGGAGCGATGAAATTTGTGTTCCTTCAGATGTGATAGCGGCTATAACTGCAAAGTGTAGCATTTCAGAGAACTCTAATTGTTCACTTGGGTCAGCAATCACGCATAGATCTGAAAACGACTATCAGTTACAAAGGGAATCGAGAACCTTACCATCGCTAAACCGACTGCTACCAATAGACCATTACGTGAATTAGACAATCCACCAACACAGTCTTTCAGGAAAAGGCCATGGCGGGAATAGATTCGGTATCTTCAATAAATCGCAGTAGCTGCCATTTAGCGTGAACATTGCCACCATTGGTGATCTCCAGAATTTCGTCGCTCAGAGACAGCCGCTCCAACTTCTTTCAATTCCTGACATCTAATTCGCATCGTAGAAGCTCTCAGACTGCTGAGCGTATCAGCAGAAGAATGTTTTAGGTTAGACACTTGACAATTCCTTCAGTAAGAAGTGTTTTAAGTAACGCATTGACTCTTGCCATGAATCTTCTTAGGATTTTAAGAAAGCACTGGGACCCTAATTACCTACACAATTATTCACAACGTATTTTCACAAAATTTTTATGCACTCGTTTTGAGGTGTGACGAGTTCTGGTAATCAGTGACACGAGAAATATCATAAAAATAGGTAGGACCAGAGCGATACATTCCTTCCTCACCTCATATCATTAGCATTGCAATGTTTAAAGGACATTCCTATTTTTTTCTGTTAATCACTTCCAGCTCTGTTTGGACTGTGTAATGGTGCTATTTTGTTACAGGTAATATATGGCTTGTATAAAAGGAAATCTGGTTCAGCCGCCCATGGCTCTGCGGATTCCTCAGCTAGAGGCAAGAAAAAGGGACGAGAAGATTCTCGACTATTTCTTGTCAGATTTGTTGCGTCTCGCCGTCAACTTTCCAATTTTCGATTCAAGAGAGGACGAAATGAAGCTCGCGTTGAAAACCTTCCTGTGGTATTTTAGTATTTGGAAACGAGGACAGACTTTTGGCCAGAAGACCCTTAATATGTCGTACAGAAAAGCCGGAAATCCTATTCTTTCGCATCAGCGAGTCGTCTACTTGCTCATAGATGTAATTCTGCCATATCTCACGGAAAAGTGGGCTTTTCAACGCTTCACGAAGTACGTGTAGTTTGCAAAGGTTTCGGTAGTAACTACGTTGACTAATAATGTCTATCATCGTCAGTGATGCTCGATTGGCATAAGCGTTATTTCTTCAACGAATTATTACCTCCACCTATTCTCCTTAATTGCGCAGGAGTAGAAATAGGCCACATAAAGAGGGAATTCAGTTTAACCATTAGTATGGTGCTTGATAGATAACTCAAGATTATAATTAAGTTAAAGACTTCAAATTACTGGATAAGGTCAAGTCCAAAATTCGCACACGTTTAAGTTGATCTTTATTGCTGATTAGTGGCTCTGAAAACATCACTGAACGTGGTTCACCTGCGTTTCAAAATATTTATTAAGTTAAGTTAGTTAAGTAATTTAATGTTGCGTTAGATTCCGTACCGTAAACGCGAAGAAACTATTTATGCATCCGGCAACTAAGTACGATTTACTTGTCACCTAGATTTTGATGTGATTACGATTTAAATGATTTGCTTCCGAATATAGATGACAGTCAATGTTGCTATATGTGGCTATCTGTCAATATATCGGAAAGCCATGGTTTATGGTGTTTATAAATCTGTTGTAATATATAGCATTAATCCAATAAACTCTTCTGTACTGTCAAATTAAAAATTGCTGCGTTCATCGGTGCAATGATTAATGAGCAGTAATTTTGTTGCTTATAAAGATGCCAGTATCACGATAATAGAATTATATGACGGTAGCAAATGATACATTACAGTAAATAATACATCACTAAATGGTTAAAAAGTAAATAACATAAATTCACAATACTTTCGTTGTTGCTTAACACTGTTAGCCGTGGTTTTGTCAAATGGCCCCCTAAAAATGGATCTAGCGTGATCTGAAATGTCGGGCGGCTTGTAAATGATATGATTTTCTATGATAAAGCCTTTACGAACTGTGTTGATTATGACGCTTATTAGGTTCAAAGTGGATGTTTTTTTCGAAAAGTAGTGAAGTACGTTATTCTGTAAATGAAAAC